TAGGTTAATAATATTAGATATCACTGAACTTTGGGTGATGTACTGTTCATACCATTAAATTTCCAGTTTCTTAAAATTATAACACTGAATGTTGATTTTAGTTCTTCTTATATCACTAAATCATTAAATCGTTAATGAATCAGTGACTTGACTAATAATTCTAATGTGAGTGTCACACCAAAATAACATCGTCTTAATACAAATATTTGTGTGTGTATACATATATATATTATTTATAATATTCTAAATATAATATATTTTTCATATAAAAGTAGTATATATTAATATTATTTATAGTATATTTATATTATATACTAATATGTAAACAATATATTTTATATATTAATATTATTTATATTATATATAATACATTGATTTTGAAAAATGAATCTTTTATTTTTGTTACAATCTAATAAAAGCTTAAGTTTGTTGAATGGTTAAGTTCTATTATTTGTTTTCAAAAGATTCAAGATCAACATCCTTTAAATGTAATATTTTAATATTTTTAACCAATAAAATAACGTCATTTTTTTACAATTTAGACGTCAAAACAACTATGCCAAAATGAGACTGTTTTGGTCTGTTTGTCACATCGATAATCGTTAGCCACGTCACCGTATCATTAACTATTTAAGTGTTGATAATATAACTATTTAACGGGCTGATAAGATAATTTAAATGAAAATGAAAGTTAATTATATAATGGAAAAAATTAGAACTTTAATAATATAAACAATTTTAATGATATCTGGACTAGTTTATCCTTAATTTTATATGAATATTAAAAATATTTCTCTTACAAATACTGGCATGGTCTATTGTTGTTCCACACTATTTATATCCCTCCACCTATTTTTTTTATTAATTATTAGTTTTGTATTTTAGATTCTTAAACAGAATTTTAGTATATATAGTATCCACATAAAGAGCATGTATAATATATAATATATATATATATATATATATATATATATATATATATATATATATAATTTTAGTATATGTCAATGCGCTAAATTTGTAAGGGATACATAAAATATTTTTAGTAGTACAATTTCTTTGGATAGAGTAAAACAGTAACTTTTTAAAACAGAGCTGAAGCACAGCGGTTTACCCATTTATTTAAAAATAATAGTAAATTCACTACTCATTTGAAAAATAAATCAAAAGGTTATCGGTGAAGGATAAAAGCTATCGGATTGGCGTTCTCTCTAGCGAGATTTGACATTGAAGGATGTTATTGATCTTTTATTTCATGATTTTGTCGGTTCGTTTACGTTTGATCTTAATGTTTCGTTTACTTTTTAGGTGCTTGCAGACTTTGATCAATTTAGACTATTTTGTAATTTTTCTGCAAACACATGTTAATGTGTTTTTGCTTTCTTTAAATACTAATTTAAAACTTTCGTTGAACGAAAAAAGAAAAAAGAAAAAATATATATAGAACATAGAACATCAGTTGATGTTTGTTCTTGAATTATATAAGATGATTATAAGGTGGAATTTTTACCACTAAATTTGGGTTTAAATTCAATTGATGTTGAATGTAGGTAATTGTGAATGAGAAATTCTGTTATGTTGCTGGAAATTTAGCGAGAAGATTCTACTCTATGGGGTATGGCAAGTAATTCCATGATGATTGTGATATTCCCACTTTGATTTTGTGACTTGACTCTAAGTCTTAACGTTTCCGTTAATTCACATTTGGAATGGCTAATTAATTTGCATTAGAATTGTTTTCATTATTATAAATTTAGGGTAATTATAGGTGACAATATATATTTTAGAGACTTTCAACCGTTTGATAATGAACGTTTAAATATTATGTAATCGTTGGTACTCGAACATAAAACTTTTAAAGTTAATCATCATCCCTCTAACCGTTTAAGTCATTTGATTCTTGCAATTTACTTGGTATTATTTGTAGGAAAATGATGTACCACACAGAATTTTCATAACGGAAATATATATGTTTTGATCTCAAGTTTATCCCTTTTTTTTCTAATCTATTGGCACTAAAAATGTATATCCCAGTAAAGTGGTAATAAAATCTGAATATATTCTATTTTTAGAAGATTTTAGTATAAAGATTATTATTAAGAAAAATAATATAAAGTTAAACTTAAATTATTTATGATGAATCACGTGGAGTGTCGTGGGGAACAATTTTAAACAACTTTTAAATGTGGAAAAATGAGTCCATAGTGACTTGACTCGACTCTAAGTCTTAACGTCTTCATTAATTCACTATTGGAATGGTTAATTAATTTGTATTGGAATTGCTTTTTTTAAAATTAATTTAGGGAAATTACAGGTGATAATATATATTTTAGAGGCTCTCAACTATTTGATAATGAACCTTTAAATATTGGAATGTTTAAATATCCTGTAATCATTGGTACTCGAACATAAAACTTTTAAAGTTAATAATAATCTCTCTAACCGTTTAAGTCATTTGATTCTGGCAATTTACTTGGTATTATTTGAAGGAAAAGGATGTACCACACAAAATTTTCATAACCAAAATATATATGTTTTGATCTCAGGTTTATCCCTTTTTTCTAATCTCTTGGCACATAATTCTTTAATTTTTTATATTTTAAATCAATACTTTATTTTCAAAATAATTTTATAAAAAAACAAAATTATAAATATATCTAATAATTTTATATAATATTTAGTTTCAATAAATTAAAATTATGACCAAATTGATAGAATATATAAGTAACAGTGGCCAAATGCGTAATTATATCAAATATTTTTAAATATTAACGGTGAGTGGCTTAATTGAATACATTTAAATAGTTGAGAGATCTGATTGAAAAAATTTCAAAAATAATGGTCAAAATGAAAAGGAGCAATACTTAGGTGGTCATTGGTATAATTTACCCTTATCTTAAATAATTTACCTTTAACTTTTTAACTAATTTATAATTATATGTCGAGTCTTTAAATTTTAAATTTTTATAAATTAATTAAATTTATATAAATTAATTAATGGTGTTTACCATTGGTGTTGCTCATCGGTATTCATCGAATGTGGCATACATATATTAATCGAAATCTATATAGTTTGGCCTCAAATTTAACCCTTTTTTAGTCCTGTAAACGAACCAAACGCACACGAACGGAGGTATGTTCATGTTCGTTATAAACGAACAATTTTTTTTTTGTTCATGTTCGTTTATTAAGGAATATAGCTTGTTCATGTTCGTTCATTTAATAAATAAACGAACATAAACGAACACGAACGAACGAACATAAACGAACAACACAAACACAAAAAAAACTTATTCGAACACAACAAACGAATGTAAAAAAAGTAAACAACAAGAATAACAACTTAAAATTCATTAATATAACCTGCAACTTTAGCGTTAATTTATTCGAATACGAAAAAAAACATACATAAATTATAAATAAGTTATATGAACATAATAAACTCTTAAAGTTATTTTGTTCAACAAAACAATCTTCTTAAAATCCAAACAACCTTAATAATCTTCGTAACATATTTAACTTGCCCTCTGTTCGAACATAAATGAACATAAATGAACGAACATAAACGAACATATAATCGAACGTTCACGAACGTAAATGAACGAACGAGCCCTTTGTTCATGTTCGTTCATTTAATTAAACGAACGCAAAATCTTGTTCATGTTCGTTCATTTAATAAATAAACGCACATAAACAAACTTTTCGCCGCAGGTTCATGAACGGTTCTCTGAACGTTGAGTTCATTTACAAGCCTACTTTTTTTTAATCTCTTGGCACTAAAAATGGATTTCCCAGAGAACTAGTTATAGAACATTTAGATCCATTTGGTGTTTTCGTCTTTTTTTTTAAAAAAAAGGACTTGCAAGTGTTAAAATTGACAAGTTCGTCTCATTGAAGAGCTGAAGAATTTGAATTAAGTTCATTTAGATCCATTTAGAGTTTTTGGAGATTTTTATTTATTTTTAAAAGAATTGTATGCTTTTTAAAAAAAAGTACGTATAATTCTAAAAGTAATTTTATGATTTTAAGAAAATAAATTATGAATTTTTTTAGATTAAAAAAATCTAAATTTTTTAAAATATTTTAGAGTTAATATTAAAAATTCTAAAAATACCAAACTGTTACTTTAGTATATATTGTAATAAAATGTATGATTAATTTTTTGTACACTAGTGGTAAAAATAAAATTGTTATAATAAAAAATAAAATTTCATTGTCAACATATTAAATAATTATACATGAAAAATATATAATCTATATATTATAAAATTTAATAACTTTATGTACATAATATTTTGGTCATCATATATATATATATATATATATATATATATATATACTTTTTAACAAATCTGAGATAAATACAAGATAATATCTGTTCAGAGACTCAACCATTTGATAATGAACGTTCATAGCTCTGCATACGCGTTGTTGGAATCCGAGACATCAAATGAATAACAACAAATCTATTAACTATTTAAATCGTTTGGTTCATATATATATATATATATATATATATATATATATATATATATAATTGGAATAAACTTTTAATTAACATTTAGATATGAAATTGTGATCAAATCTGAAATGAAATAAACCCGATGTTTTTGCATTCATATTGTTTGTGTATTTATTAACACCAAAATAAGATTTAAATCTAATTATCTCTTTAATATAAAAAAATCTAATTATCTCTATATAATTGTCCTTTGTTGTATTATCTAATTAAAGTAATATTTTTAGAAAGTTTAATATTTTAATAATTTCTATCATGTAAATTTTGAGATATTTCAGTATTTGAAATATATATAATTTTATCATGTGATATTTTATGTTGTGTTTTAGATGTATATATAGATTTAAAATACGATATAAATATGGAATTAGTGATAATTCCTGGAGCTCAGGTCACTTTCATTTGGCATGCTCTTTTCAAACCAGAAATTGTACCTATTTAAGCATGCTCTTTTCTTCATCATCCAACTTCAAATCCCCTCTTCCTACTTTCTCTTTTCTTTGGCTTATTTCGTCTCAAAATCATGAAGTACAACCCATGCTCCCATCTAATTTCTGTTTTGTGGGTACGATGTTTCATAGTTTGCTCAGCGATAGCTGTCAGGAATCTCACCACCGATCAGTCTGCACTTGTCGAGTTTAAAGATGGCATTTTGGATCCTCAAAATGTATTGGCTAACAGCTGGAAGGCCTCTACTTCTGTTTGCAAGTGGGTTGGTGTTTCTTGTGGTTCCATCCATGAAAGAGTTGTAGCTTTGAATCTTACAAGCATGGATCTTACGGGTAACATCCCTCCGCACCTTGGGAATCTTTCATTTCTACGTTCTCTTGATTTGAGCAGCAACCATTTCAATGGCCATCTGCCTATAGAATTGGGACAGCTACATCGTTTGAGGGTCCTTCGATTAAGCTTCAACGGTCTTAATGGAGAGGTTCCATCGTGGCTTGGGAACTTGCACAGAGTTAAAATGTTGAAAATGTATAGTAATAATTTCACAGGCACAATCCCTCAAACACTTGTCAACATGTCCAATTTAGAGATCTTAAGTTTGGGAGCCAATCAACTGTTTGGTGAGATTCCATCTTCCATCTTCAGAATTACCTCTTTGAAAGGGATTTATCTTGACGATAATAGTCTTTCTAGAAGCTTGCCCGATGATTTGTGTGTCCATCTTCCAAATCTTGAGGTGCTCGAGTTGTATAGAAATGAATTATTCGGTAATATCCCATCAACTGTAGGAAAATGCAGCAACCTTCAATATTTGGCACTATTTTCTAATAAATTTAGTGGGACCATTCCAAGAAGCATTGGAAATATGACACGACTCAAAGAATTATATTTGGGAGTCAATAATCTAGAAGGTATGAGTTGTCACTTTTAAACACATTTTTTTATTTAAACTTTGATTCATAATAGATACGAAATGTAAGAATTTTTGTTTCCCTCGAACAAAATATTAAGTTTATAAATGAGTTCAAATATGATTAAAAGTTTAATATTTCTAGAAAATAAAAACGTCTTTGATTTTCATAAAAAATTCTAAGCTTTAACACTTGGATATTTCAACTATGATTACAGGTGAAATTCCGACTTGTATCTTCAACGTTTCTTCTCTCAATATTATTGATCTCTCTAGCAATAGTCTATCAAGTACTCTGCCTGATGATCTCTGTCACCATCTTCCCAAACTTGAAGAGCTTCATTTGCATTCAAATGAATTATCAGGTTCTCTTCCACTCAGCATAGATGAATGTTATAACCTTCGAGTTTTGTCATTAGCTTCTAATAAATTCAGAGGGATAATTCCAACAAATATTTGGAATTCAACCATGCTCCAAAGTATATATCTATATGACAACATTTTACAAGGTACGTTGTTTTCTTTTTAATACTTATCCCAAGTTCAGTAGCATTTACTTTAATTTATTTCTCCCTTTTTGGTCATATATGTCGTCGTCACTCGTCATACATAAGTGTAGACACCAAAAGTATCAAAATTAAAAGATGTAAATATCCTCTAAATATTTAAAATCAATGTAATAATTCATTGGGTAAAGTATACAAATGGTCTTTCGACTATAGGATGTTGCTTTGTTGAGTCCTTCGACTACTAAAAGTTACAAAATGGTTTCTTGACTATAAGATATTACTTTGTTGAGTCCCTCAACTATTAAAAGCTACAAAATGATAATCGGACTATTCATTATGTTTCAAACTCTTCCTTTTTTGTTAAAAAATTGACGGTAGTTTAAGTTGGACGTTATCATACTGACAGAGATATGATAATCGTTTAAGATTCTGCGATCAGATTTTATAATATCGAGTTAGAATGTTAACGTAAAATTCAAGTTATCGTCAATATTTAATGAAAAATGGCCAGTTTGGAACATAATGAATAATTAGGTGATCATTTTATAACTTTTAATAATCGATAGACTCAACAAATAATGTCTTATTATTATGGGACCATTTGTAGCTTTTAATAATCGGGGGACTCGACAAAATATTGTCCTATGGTCAAGGGACCATCTCTATACTTTACCGTAATTCATAATTGATTGATAATACATCAATACATTTAAAAAATTAAAGTAGATGACTATAATAGTAAATGATAATACATTGTAACCAATTAATGACATAGGAACTATTAATTCGTAATATATGGGTAAAAAGCACTATAAATAAATTAATGATAAGCTATGTATAATACATTCTAGAAGGTTTTAACGGAGAAAACTGATTAAAATATAAAAAAGAAAATGATTTAGCTTAAAATTAATAAATTAAAACTAAGTTTAAAATATTTGACATATATTTATTTAAATTTTTTTAAAATAAAATAAACGTAAAAAGAAAATATAATTATCATTATTGGCATTTTTTAAAAATATTTTATATTTAAGATATACTTATATTAATTTAACTGTAATTTCTATTAAACCTTGGGGAAGTTTGATTGCATTTCTTAGTGCATAAAATTTATTTTTATTTGACAAAGATTCGCAAAATAAATAAAAGTGGTTATGTAAATATTTTGTAAATTTGGCATTCAATGAATTTTTAAGCTGAAAAGTAATGTAAAGATTGGCTAGGATTTCAGTGTTTAGTTTGAATATCATGATATTTATATATACTAAAAGATGCAGTTTTAACAGGAAACTTGCCTCCCATGACCAACGCTCCAAAGCTTGAGAAGCTTGTTTTGTGGGGAAATAAACTCAGCGGAAACATTCCCCCCTATCTCCAATCCTTCCATGCTCAAGCGTCTATTCAAAACAATAATTTCTTCTCTGTCCCAATTCCAGATTCGCTTGGCCACTTAAGACATCTTGAAAGATTCCATGTCGGTGACAATAATTTGACCACAGAATCTGCTACTCATGAGTGGACCTTTCTTTCTTCTTTGGCTAATTATAGGAATTTGACATATATAGCGGTTCCGGGAAATCCATTGCAGGGAGTTCTTCCATCTTACATTGGGAACCTTTCGACATCCCTTCAATACTGTTATGCTTACAATTGTAACCTTAAAGGTAATTTAAGCAACATGTTGGTTTTAGCACTTGACTACAATGAATTGCGTGGATCTGCTCCCACATCAATAGGACGGCTGAGAAATCTCCAAGCTTTGTACCTTTTCTCTAATAAATTAGGAGGTCCCGTCTCAGAAAGCATATGTGGTTTGGAGAGATTATACCTCTTGTCTTTATCGTTCAATGAGCTGCATGGACCTATACACGCTTGTTTGAGTAATTTGACTTCTTTGAGGTATCTTTACCTGGCTTCCAACAAATTTACTTCTTCAATACCTTCAACTTTGTGGAATCTTAAAGATATCTTAGTATTAGATTTATCATCAAACTACCTCAACAATTCCCATGCTCTTGATGTTGGAGATTTGAGGAGTCTGTTGGAATTGAATTTATCAAGGAATCTGCTCACATGTGATATCTCATCTTCAATTGGGGGTCTTCTAACTCTGCTTTCATTAGACTTATCAAACAATAAGTTACATGGTCATATCCCTGAATCATTTGGTGGTTTGATTAGTTTGGGACTCTTGGATTTAAGCCATAACAATATCTCCGGAGCCATCCCCAAATCTTCGGAAAAACTTCAATTTCTAAATTATCTTAATGTTTCTTCCAATAGGCTTGAAGGAGAAATTCCAAGCAATGGATGTTTTCCAAACTTTTCCAGCACGTCATTCATGAACAATTTTGCACTTTGTGGTCCACCAAGATTGCTAGTCCCACCTTGCAAGAAAAACATCTCCACAAACTGATACATGCACCACACGCCCTAAAGCTAAGGATGAATTTACTATACCACTTGGCCCTATCACACGAGGTCGGACAAAACTTCTTAAAGACAAACTTCAAATCGCAGTTCAAGCATTCATCCATAAGGATCTAATAGCATCAGATTTGCAACAACTTTTTGAAGGGGATCCAGTTGTTATCCGGTCGACATGTCTTCTGGAGATACAACCGTCTATCTCTTATCTTTCCAACGGTTCTTGAATCGCATCAATCCGATATCGGGAACTCAAGATATGACCATTTTACTGAAGACGGTGCATGCATGAAATCCTATACGGGATTAATACGTTATTTTGTAAATATTACGAATTTTCAATATTTATATTGATTATTTGTAATATAATTTAATATAGGATGATTAATTATCTTTTAGGATCAGAATTATTATTTTATTAGGAATTAAGGTTGGGTTAAAACAATATTTTTAGTTATTATTATTTTATTAGGAATTAGAGTTAAAACATGTTTAGTTTATTAATATTTTATTCTTTAGTTATTTAGGACCTTTAGAATTCAGCCCCTATATAAAGGAGGCTTCATTCAACTTTGTAAATCAGATTTCTTTGATTAATAATACAACGAGAGTTCATTTTTGCAAGTGCTGATTGCCTTGTGCCTTCGAAGCTTCTTCTTCTGGAATTCTTTCAAGTTCTTGTGAGGGAAATTAATCTTCACACTCCAATTTGCCTTTTCATCGCGACTAGGAGGGTTGGTTAGAGCCATTTATCGAGTTTTCCTTTTCATTGCGACTAGGAGGGTTCGATAGGACACTTATCCATCTATTTTTCCACAAATCCATCTGCACCATCAATCATCTTTACCGTCCACCTTCGTAAGGGAGATCTTTTGATTTCTTTATTATCTTATCTTATTTTATTTTCAATTTCTTTATCTTTTTTTTTTATTTTGTTCTAATCTTATTGCCTTGAAGAAACCCTAAAGAATCCTAGTTACTGTTGCCACCTTCCCATATTCATCCCCTTTGTTCTTAATCGAGTCTAGAGTTTTTTAGGTTTGATTCTTCAACAAGAGCAACGTTCATTAACCCGCCACCGCTTCCCTATCAATTGGTATCAGATTTGGACCGATTCTTGGAAAGAAGCAAGCAATCTTCTTTGTTCTTGCACACAACACCGTCAAGGTACCCCAACGGAGCTAGTTCAGAGAATATTCATCGTTTCAGGTTATTTTTTTTTAATTTTAATTTAGATTCAAATCCTTCTTATTAGTTTGCTATTTTTTTTCAAAAAAAAAACAAAAAAGCCAAAATTTCAAAAAAAATTGCAAACAAAGGTATTTAGGGCTGATTTTATCCAGATATCATATTCGTCTTAAGTTTAATCTCCAGTCCAAAATTCACTTCGTTCAGAGTTCATTAGATCCTTCAAATACATCATTCAAGTTTTATCGGCAGATTCGGTCTAGAATATTGTCGAATTTCTTGAAAATTCTACAGGAGGAATTTTGTGGTGAAAATTTCCAGATTAAAACTACATATATTGGAGATCATTCACACAAAAAATCAGAATTTTTGGAGATCAATAACAACTTCGAACAAAGTGATCAAGAAAAACAGATTGTTTGAGGACTCACCGTTCAACAGAGTCTACTGGATACTACTGAAGGTATTTGATTCTAAAATTTTACAGGTGGTTTCTTGACGTATCGAAAGACATTAAAGAATTTTTCCAGAATTTTTGGATACCGGTAACCCCCTCAAAAACGTTGCTCAAGTTGATCCAGCGTTTTCTAGGTTTTCTGGTTTGGTCCTTTTTTTCTTTAACTCTTAGTGCTTTAGGTTCTTTTGTTTTTCCATGTTATTGTTCTTTTGCATTATCTAACACATTATCTTCCTTGTGTTAGTAGGACTAAAGAGTTTGCATACTTCTTCCTTCTTTGCATTCTTTTTCTCTTGGAGTCTAACCTTTGTTTGGCCTCTTAGAGCTTTTAGGTTTTTCTTATCGCCTTTGCTAGTAATCAAACTCCGATACGAACTGTGAAAGACTACTTGGTAAAATGAGTTTTAAAGAGTACAAGATCGGCTTACTTGCCTCTCGTTGTGTTACTTTCTTGGAGTGACTTGTGAGGTTTCTTGCTTTGTTAAATTTATTTTCTTTTATTTTTATTCTACTTTAAAATCTTCTTTTGAGTGTTATAATTGCAGGATGGGCGACAATAACAATGAGACACTTACGGCCATCTTAGCCGCACTTGAAAGACTCACAACTCAATTTGATCAACTTAACAATGCCTTGAGAGAACGACAAGAACTACAACTGGATCTACCAAACCAGAATCCAAGGCCAAATAATGCTGAACTTTTGGCCCCCAGGCGAGCACAACCACGTTTTCAAACACCCGAACTCTTTGCAAAACCAAAGTTCACGATCCCGTCTTTTAAAGGAGACTACGATCCATACAAGTACATTGATTGGGAAGGAAAATTTGATCTCTTGTTCGCATACCATGACTGCCCCCAAGCTGAACAAGTTCCCCTCATCACCTTGGAATTTGAAGGATATGCTCACACTTGGTGGATGCAAACAAGGAAAAAGATCGACAGCTACCAAATTCAACCAATCACTTCTTGGACCGAACTCAAACATGCCATGAGGAACCGATTCCTACCGACACATTATACACGAGAAGTTAAACAACGACTACACCGACTTCGACAAGGTAGAAGTTCAGTTGAAGATTACTACAAGGAGATGCAATCCTTACTCAATAGGGCTAACATAACTGAAGAAGAAGAGGACACCATGTCAAGATTCGTCGTCAGCTTGAACTCAAACATCACTGATCTTCTTGACCTCCATGGGTACGAAAACCTCGAAGATACACTGAAGAAAGCAATGACAATCGAAGCACAAATACAAAGGAGATTCCGATTCAGAGAACATTACCAAGGTACTTCATTCTCTTACCAAGGTAATTCTTAAAATCCTTCCTCATCTTCTACTCCATCTTCTCAAAAAAAATCGAGAGATGACAAACTCGACAAAGAGAAACAACGACCAGCAAAGAATGAGACACTTCCAGCCCCTAAAGACGACACCGGAGCAAGAGACATCAAGTGTTTTAAATGCTCAGGAAGAGGCCATATCAGCCGCAATTGTCCAAACACGAGGACCTTAACCATACTAGGTGATGGATCTTACAATTCTGACTCCGATGACGACATCGCCGACATTCCAGTACATGTCGAAGCCAAAGAAGATAGTGATGACTATGGAAGCGATGAGTACAATGGCACAATCTTGGTGATCCGTCATACATTGAACATCCAAGCATCCGACGAGTCTGACATACAACGTTCCAACATCTTCCACACACACTGCCTAATCAAGGAACAACCATTCTCCATCATCATTGACAATGGTAGTTGTGTCAACGTCATTAGCTCCAACGTTGTTGAATCACTCAAACTTCCTTGCCAACGACATCCAAAACCTTATTGCTTACAATGGCTTAATGAGAGTGCCGAGATGAAGGTGGTTAAACAATGCCTCGTTAATATCAAGATAGGAAAGTATTGTGATGACGTATGGTGTGATGTAATTCCGATGCAAGCATCCCACATTCTCCTAGGACGGCCTTGGCAATACGACAACGACGTCACATATTATGGTTGAAAGAACACTTACACAATTCCAATAAAAGGTAAACCGTTCCGACTTAACCCCCTACCCCCCAAAGAGATTCTCATAGATCAACAACGAATTCTCAAGGAAATAGGGAATTTGAAACAAAAGGCAAAAGAGGTCACAACCGATAAAAGCCAAACAAATGACCCACGGGTGGTGAGTGAACCTCAATGTGAAAATAAAAGAGTGTCTCAAAACATTTATGCGAGTGCAAAAGTTATGAGAGAGACCCTTTTTCAAAATAGGTCGTGCATTCTAGTTCGTTTCAAGGACTCCATTTTATCAACTATCACTAACATCACAGATTCGCCTACTGTGTTTTCTTCTCTATTACAGGAGTTTCAAGATGTCTTAAGCAACCCACCGGATGGTTTGCCACCTACAAGAGGAATCGAACATCAAATCGATTTTATCCCTGGATCAACCATACCAAACCGCCCCGCTTACCGATGCAATCCTGAGGAAACGAAGGAATTAGAACGATAAATAGATTCATTATTACAAAAAGGACACATCCGTGAGAGTCTTAGTCCTTGTGCAGTTCCCGTCATTCTATTTCCAAAAAAAGATGGCACATTCTGAATGTGTGTAGATTGTCGACCTATCAATCGGATAACAATCAAGTATAGGCATCCTATTCCACGCCTAGATGATATGTTGGATGAACTACATGGTGCAAGTATCTTCACCAAAATTGACTTGAAGAGTGGTTACCATCAAATTCGAATGAAAAAAGGAGACGAATAGAAAACATCATTCAAGACAAAGTTCGGCTTGTATGAATGGCTTGTTATGCCCTTTGGACTCACAAACGCTCCAAGCACCTTCATGAGATTAATGATACACGTTCTTAAGGAGTTTATAGGTAAATTTGTTGTCGTTTACTTTGATGACATTCTTATATACTCATCTTCTCTTAATTCTCATGTCATTCATGTTCGAATGGTTCTCGAAGTTCTTCGACGAGAACATTTATATGCTAACATGGATAAGTGTGTGTTTTGCAGTGATAAGCTTATGTTTTTAGGCTTTATAGTTAGTGTAAAGGGTATTCATGTAGATAAAGAGAAGGTCAAGGCAATTCAAGAATGGCCCACGCCTACTTCCATCACCGAGGTAAGATCTTTTCATGGTTTGGCAAGTTTCTACCGTCGCTTTGTCAAAGATTTCTCAACCATTGCTGCACCATTAACCGAGATCATCAAAAAGTCAGTTGAATTCAAATAGGGACCACTACAACAAAAAGCTTTTGAACTTCTTAAAGATAAGTTATGTTCTTCCCCTATTCTTCGTCTTCCCAATTTTTCTAACACCTTTGAGCTAGAATGTGATACTTCAGGCATAGGCATTGGTGCCGTCCTCATGCAAGAAAGACAACCTATCGCTTACTTTAGTGAAAAGTTAAAAGGTGCACAATTGAACTACTCTACCTACGACAAGGAACTTCTTGCACTCGTCCGAGCACTCGAAGTGTGGCAACATTATCTTCTCCCTAAAGAGTTTGTCATTCACACGGATCATGAATCACTCAAATGGTTAAATGGACAAGGTAAGTTAAACAAACGACATGCTCGATGGGTTGAGTTCATTGAATCTTTTCCTTACATCATCAAATACAAACAAGGGAAAGATAACATTGTAGCTGATGCATTATCTCGACGATACACACTTATCACTCGAATGCATGCTACTGTTCTGGGTTTTGCACATATCAAAGAACATTATCCTAACGATCCAGATTTTTCTGAGATTTATAAACAATGTGTAAAAGGTGCTTTTAACAAGTTTTATCTTGTAGATGGCTTTCTTTTTCGCATGAACAGGTTGTGTATACCACAAGGCTCTTTGCGAGAGTTCTTGGTTCACGAGTCACATGCCGGAGGACTTATGGGACACTTCGGTATTCACAAAACACTTGATATGGTCATGGAACACTTATTTTGGCCGCATATGCATAAAACATTGGAAAAGATTTGTGCATCATGCATCACGTGCAAACAAGCAAAGTCAAAGGTAAATCCTAATGGTTTGTACACGCCTTTACCAATTTCTTCTTCTCCTTGGATCGATTTATCGATGGATTTTTTACTTGGCTTACCCCGCACTAAGAAAGGATGAGATAGTATTTTTGTGGTTATGGACAGATTCTCAAAGATGGCACACTTCATTCCTTGCCATAAAACGGACGATGCCACACATATTGATGATTTATTCTTTCGAGAAATTGTCCACCTTCATGGCATTTCTCGCACCATTGTGTCCGATCGTGACACTAAGTTTATAAGCCACTTTTGGAAGGTATTGTGGGGTAAGATTGGCACAAAACGTCTCTATTCCACTTCTTGTCATCCTAAAACCGATAGACAAACCGAAGTAATAAATCGGATTCTAGGATCTTTGCTAAGAACTGTGGTAGATCAGGTTGTCAGTTTAGATGGTGAAAAGAAGGCTGCCCTTGTCAAAGACATTCACGCCAAATCCAAACTCAAGATGGAGAAAACCTACGAGGCAATCGCAAACCGAGTTAAAAAGGGCCGACGACATGTCACTTTTGAACCAGGAGATTGGGTATGGGTTCACATGAGAAAAGAAAGGTTCCTGACACAAAGGAAATCCAAGCTAGACCCACGAGGCGATGGCCCATTCCAAGTCCTTGAACGAATCAATGACAACGCCTACCGCATTGATCTTCCCGGTGAGTATAACGTGAGTGCATCCTTTAATGTTTCTGACTTATCTCATTTTGATATTTTAGATTCGTGGACGAATCCTTTTAAGGAAGGGGGAGATGATACATGCACCACACGCCCTAAAGCTAAGGATGATGAATTTACTATACCACTTGGCCCTATCACACGAGGCCGGACAAAACTTCTTAAAGACAAGCTTCAAATCGCAGTTCAAGCATTCATCCGTAAGGGTCTAATAGCAGCAGATTTACAACAACTTTTTGAAGGGGATCCAATTGTTATCCGATCGACATGTCTTCTGGAGATACAACCGTCTATCTCTTATCTTTCCAACAGTTCTTGAATCGAATCAATCCGATATCGGGAACTTAAGATATGGCCATTTTACTGAATACGATGCATGCATGAAATCCTATACGGGATTAATACGTTATTTTGTAAATATTACGAATTTTCAATATTTATATTGATTATTTGTAATATAATTTAATATATGATGATTAATTATCTTTTAGGATCAGAATTATTATTTTATTAGTAATTAAGGTTGGGTTAAAACAATATTTTTAGTTATTATTATTTTATTAGGAATTAGAGTTAAAACATGTTTAGTTTATTAATATTTTATTCTTTAGTTATTTAGGACCTTTAGAATTCAGCCCCTATATAAAGGAGGCTTCATTCAACTTTGTAAATCAGATTTCTTTGATTAATAATACAACGAGAGTTCGTTTTTGCAAGTGCTGATTGCCTTGTGCCTTCGAAGCTTCTTCTCCTGGAATTCTTTCAAGTTCTTGTGAGGGAGATTAATCTTCACACTCCAATTTGCCTTTTCATCGCGACTAGGAGGGTTGGTTAGAGGCATTTATCGAGTTTGCCTTTTCATTGCGACTAGGAGGGTTCGATAGGACACTTATCCATCTATTTTTCCACAAATCTATCTGCACCATCAATCATCTTTACCGTCCACCTTCGTAAGGGAGATCTTTTGATTTCTTTATTATCTTATCTTATTTTATTTTCAATTTCTTTATCTTTTGTTTATTTTGTTCTAATCTTATTGCCTTGAAGAAACCCTAAAGAATTCTAGTTACTGTTGCCACCTTCTCCTATTCATCCACTTTGTTCTTAATCGAGTTTAGATCTTTCTAGGTTTGATTCTTCAACAAGAGCAACGTTCATTAACCCGCCACCGCTTCCCTATCACAAACTCCAAGATGATGATAGTGCATGCTTTAAGGTATGGTTTACCTGCATTTGGGATTGTCATTGTACTAATAGTCTTTAACTATTATGTACAGAAAACGCCAAAGTAAGAGTACAACTCTACCAGTTAAGGATGATTCACCGTCTTTGAAAAATTGGAGAAGAATTTCACAAGCTGAACTTTCACAAGCAACCGATGGATTTGGGGAAAGCAATTTTCTTGCTTCAGGGAGTTTCGGATATGTATATAGAGGAAGACTTTCAGATGGAATGGAAGTAGCAATTAAAGTCTTCAATTTGCAGATAGAAGGAGCATTTAGGAGCTTTGACATTGAATGTGAAGCATTGCGTAATATAGTTCATCGGAATCTTGTCAAGATCATTACTTGCTGCTCTAATGTCGAGTTTAAAGCCTTGGTGCTTGATTTCATGTCTAATGGAAGCCTTGAGAATTAGTTACATTCTGAAAACTATTCTCTTGATATCTTACAAAGGATGAACATAATGATTGATGTTGCAACAGCTCTAGAACATCTCCATACTGGACATGCAACACCAGTAATTCATTGCGACCTAAAACCGAGTAATATTCTACTTGATGATGACATGGTTGCACATGTGGGAGATTTTGGCATTGCCAAATTGTTGGGAGAAGGTGATGTAATGAAACATACCATGACTCTTGCAACTATCGGTTATATGGCTCCAGGTGAATTTGAGTTTTTTTTAATGATAATTTTTCCTTTCTCTCCCTTTTATACTCTTTCATGTGTATGTGTACATATAATTGGATAAGGCATTTCAGAAATAATTAAGAATTAACAAGGCTTTGATTATGCTTGAAATGAAGAATTCGGATCAGCAGGAATTGTTTCTATAAAATGCGACATTTATAGTTAGAGAAAATAACCTCAGTGACCAAAAATCCCAGATAATATACGATTTTGACCAATTTTTTTTGGATTTGCGAAAATGACCACGACCACGACCACGACCACGACCCGAGACGAGACGGCGGCGGCGCGCGAGAGTCCCCCTTGTTCTCTTCCACTCAACAAGGAAGTGGGAAATTCAAGCCTTAAATACTATTCCCAATAGTGTTTCCAATACTATGTGGGATTGAGCATTACCAACACCATAGAATCTTAGTTCCCGACCACCACTTTACTAATCAAAGAGACCGAAATATGAAGGGACTGTTAAACTGCATACATAAGCATCTGTTGAGTGGAACCATAAAACATAGAGAATATTAATTTGTTCAACCAATAGGGTGGTTACAATCAATACATAGAGAATATTGCATGTTGGCATAATTTTGATTGAATGGAAAACAAAACGGTCCATATTGTCAATGGCAGCGACATGCTGATAACTTTACAATAATTGATGCATTATTGATTCATATGTAATTTGGGGAGGTGATAGAATGAGACGTCTAGATATTGTCAATTGTAACTGTTAGGTATGGCTCATAAATATACCAGTAAAGAGGACAGGAGATGGAGCGGAGTGAGCGAAGCGAACATCAACTGTCCTTACAAAGAAAGTCTCATTGTGGGGTTACGAATTATGTGGGTTGGGGGTGCGGGGGCGCAGCCTCCGCGGTACGGTACAGGGTTAATTTTGTAATTATGTACCAGGGTTTTCTATTATAAATAGAGATGTAACCTAGACCTAAAATATCATTGAATAAAAACTTCTAGCGCCGCCTAGGCACCGAGGACGTAAGCACATTGCCGAACCTCGTAAAATTCTCGTGTTCTTTTGTTTTCTTTACCCGTTTTCGTCAACAATTGGTATCAGATGTCAGGAGCAAAATTCAAAGTCGCGAAATTCGATGGTCAGGGTAACTTCGGATTATGGCAAACGAGGGTGAAGGATCTATTGGCGCAGCAAGGGATCTTGAAGGCTTTGCGATCTACAAAGCCGACGTCGATGGATGAGGAAGATTGGGAAGAATTGCAGCAGCGAGCGGCAGGAACCATACGATTATGCTTGGCGGACGAGGTCATGTATCACGTCATGCATCTATCGTCTCCAGACGAAATTTGGAGGAAGTTGGAAAGTCAGTTTATGTCCAAATCCTTAACGACAAAACTGTATCTGAAGCAGCGGCTGTATGGGCTGAAGATGCAGGACGATCACGATTTGGCGCAACACGTGAATGTCTTCAATCAAATCGTTTCTGATCTGGCTCGGCTTGATGTGAAAATTGAGGATGAAGACAGAGCGATGATTCTGTTGTGTTCGTTGCCTCCCTCTTACGAACACATGGTGACTACTCTTACATATGGGAAAGAGACTATCAATGTTGAGGAGATTACTGCAACCTTGTTGGCTCACAACCAGCGGAAGCAGAATGCAGGGGAAAGCTCTCAAGCCGATAGCTTATATGTCAAGGGTAATCGAGACCGTGGACGGAAGCCAGAGAAGGCAGGGTCCGGGAAGCGGAATTCCAGATCCAAATCCAGGGATAAGAAGACGATTCACTGTTGAAAAAGCAGACTGATGAGAAGCGTGATGGCTCATCCAAGTCTGTGAACGTGGTCGAGGATGATAATTCTGATTGCAGTGAGGGTGATATGCTTTCTATTTCAACGACACAATTGACGGATGCTTGGATTCTTGATTCTGGATGTTCTTATCACATCACGCCAAATAGGGAATGGTTTTCGACATACAGGTCGGTTAATTCTGGTTCGGTTTATTTGGGTGATGATCGATGTTGCAATATTGTTGGTATTGGTGATGTCAGAATTAAGATGCACGATGGCTCCGTTCGGACGTTGAGTGGTGTTCGACATATCCCAGACTTGAAGAAGAATTTGATTTCCTTGGGCACTTTGCACAAGAATGGTTTTATCCCTAAGGCTGACGAGGATAGGGAAACCATTCGGATTGTTAAAGGAGCATTGACTGTGATGAAAGGCAAGATGACTGCAGGGAATATCTACAGATTGTTAGGGAGTACCGTTGCAGGTGGAGTTCACTCTGTTGAGTCCTGTGATGATACGACAAAATTGTGGCATATGCGCCTTGCTCATCTTAGTGAACGTGGTATGGCAGAATTACACAAGAGAAACTTGTTGCATGGTGTCAAAAGTTGTAAGCTCGACTTTTGCAAGTATTGTGTTCTTGGTAAACAGACTAAAGTCCGTTTCAAGACTGCGAAGCACACAACTCAAGGGATTCTTGATTATGTGCATTCTGATGTATGGGGGCCTTCCACGACATCGTCTTTGGGTGGATCTAGGTACTATGTTACTTTTATTGATGATTTTTCACGGAAAGTTTGGGTGTATTTTTTGAAACAGAAATCTGAAGTTTTTGAGAAGTTCAAGCTGTGGAAAGCTGAGGTAGAAAACCAAACAGGACGAAAAATCAAGTGTTTGCGGTCTGACAATGGTACGGAGTACACAGATTCACAGTTCCTACAATTCTGTAAGGAGCATGGGATTCAGAGGCATTTTACAGTGCGCTAGACACCACAACAGAATGGTGTTGCGGAACGAATGAACAGGTCGTTGAATGAAAGAGCCAGATGTTTGCGGTTGAATGCGGGGCTTCCCAAACACTTCTGGGCTGAGGCTGTTAACATGGCGTGTTACCTTATCAACAGATCGCCAAGGGCATCGCTGGCTGGGAAAGTTGCAGAAGAGGTATGGACTGGTCATGATGTTAGTTTTGATAACTTACGGATTTTTGGTTGTCCTGCTTATGTGCATGTACCTGCTGATGAGAGATCCAAACTTGATGCAAAATCGAAGGAGTGCATTTTTCTTGGTTACAAGAAAGGTGTCAAAGGATTCAAGTTCTGGGATCCAGTTGCGAAGAAAGTTGTGATTAGTAGAGATGTCGTTTTTGATGAACAATCCATGTTGCAGCAGAAGCAAGACACGACAGTGGTGGATTTCGAGCAGTTTCCAGTTGAGAAACCAGAAACTTCTCAACCGACTTCTGGTGGTTCCACTACGGATGATTTACAGGATTATAATCTCGCCAGAGACAGGGTGAGACGGACGAATATAAAGCCTCCGAACAGATTGGGTTTTGAAGACTTGGTATCTTTTGCACTTATTGTTAGCAGTGATGATCCGGTTACTTTTCATGATGCCGTTACTAGTCAAGAAAACGACAAGTGGATGGCAGCCATGGTTGAGGAGATGGAGTCTTTGAATCACAATCGCACATGGGAGTTAGTTCCCCTTCCTGAGGGTAAGAAGCCAATTGGTTGCAAATGGGTGTATAAGAAGAAACCAGTAGTAACAGAAAAAGAGGGGGAGAAGTTCAAGGCTCGTTTGGTAGCGAAGGGTTTTTCACAGCAGAAAGGAGTTGATTATGATGAAATCTTTTCTCCTGTGGTCAGGCACACTTCAATCCGAGCAGTACTTGCATTGGTGGCTAGTTGGGATTTGCATTTAGAGCAGATGGATGTTAAAACTGCTTTTTGCATGGTGATTTAGAGGAGCAGATCTACATGCGGCAACCTGAAGGTTTCACTCAACCTGGAAACGAGCATTTAGTTTGCAGATTGAAGAAATCTTTGTACGGGTTGAAACAGTCTCCGAGACAGTGGTATAAACGGTTTGACTCCTATATGATCAAGATTGGCTACAACCGATGTGAGTATGATTGTTGTGTCTATGTTAAGAGCCTTGATGATGGTTCTTTTATTTTTCTATTACTGTATGTTGATGATATGTTGATTGCTGCGAAGAACATGGATGATGTTATCGGTTTGAAAACTTTATTGAGTCAGGAATTTGATATGAAAGATTTAGGTGCTGCAAAGAAAATTCTTGGAATGGAAATTTGCAGGGACAGAGACTCAAGGAAACTGCGGCTATCTCAACGGGGTTATGTTGAGAAAATGCTAGAAAGGTTTGCGATGAGCAGCGCAAAACCAGTTGGCACTCCATTGGCGAATCACTTTAAGCTCTCATCAGAACAGTGCCCCAAGACAGATAAGGAAGCTGAAGATATGGCAAAGGTTCCGTATTCTAATGCTGTTGGCTGCTTGATGTATGCGATGGTATGTACTCGTCCTGATTTAGCTCATGCTGTTAGTCAAGTTTGTAAGTACATGTCTAAACCTGGTAAGCAACATTGGGAAGCAGTCAAGTGGATCTTTCGGTACTTAAAGGGTACTGTGGGACA